CTTTTTGGTACTGGTGAGTTTTGACAGTAGGTCTGCTCTGGTGTTCTGCTCCCGCGATACGTGTTTTATGGAGAACTCATCGAAAGACGAGATCTGTTGGGCTGCGGTATGAAAGTATCTCTGTAGGAGGACGTCCTTTGCTTAGTACGTTCCACTAAGCTGTTCTACCATGAGTTTGGAATCGCTGTTGCAGCTTACTCTTCGAGCTCCGAGGTCCCGGGCTAATCTTAGTCCGGCGAGGAGAGCTTCGTACTCTGCCTGGTTATTAGTTGCTTTAAATCCGAACTTGAGGGATTGTTCCACAGTGATTTGGTTTGGTCCTTCCAGGATGATGCCTGCACCTCCTCCTTTGGAGTTGGAGGATCCGTCTACATGGAGGGTCCATGCTTGGGGTTCTTCTGTGGTGGCCGGCGTGAGCTCGGCTACGAAGTCGGCCAAACATTGGGCTTTTAGAGGTCCGCGGCTTTCGTACCGAATTTCGAACTCTGACAGTTCTATTGACCAGGCAATCATGCGTCCGGCAAGCTCAGCACAACACAACTCAACTGTCCCGTTTTCGGTAATTGGTACACTGTTACATAAGTATGGATTTCAATACAGATATTATAATATTAATAAAAAAGAATAATTTTATAAAATAAATTTATTATTAATTTTCTTTATTAGAAATGAAACTATACGTCAACTTCTCAAAAAATTATTATTCTTTTTATTTCACAATGATTACAGTTTAAGATTTTTATATATGTATTAAAAACAATAATAAGTGTACAACTTTTTATACAATTGTACTATAATAGCTCAGTCTTTCAATAAATTCACTTAATTATAATAGTTAAATAATTTATAAAGAAATAAATTTTTAAAATTAATATTATATCAAAAAGTGAGAGAACATTGTTAATTATATGATTTTTTTAAAAAATATTAAAACTAGAGTCCTTTTGTGGGACGAAGAGAGTATGAGACAAAAGAGAGTATTAGAGTTAAAAATGAAAACATAAAATTGTTAATAGTATATTAAAAGGTTTGACATTTATTTTAAAATTTATTTTTATCTTTTTATTATAGGAAAGAAAAAGTACAAACGTTTCATGAATGCAAGTCGGGTCAATGAGGAGTTTAATTAATTGTCCATAACAAAATTTAATCACACACTCACGTAGGGCTGCTGGTTAGGGATGAGAATGGGGCGGGGCGCGTACGGGTTTCATGATACCGTCCTTGTTCCCGCGAGTCAAATTCATCCCCGTCCTCGTACTTATACTTGTCGGATATGTGATTTTCATCTCTATCCTCGTTCCTGTCGGGTATCGAGTATATTCGTACCCGTATTTATACTCGTCAATTTTTTTATTTTTTATTTTTTGTAAAAAAATGATATTTTTAAATTATTTTTTATTATATTATAATTATAATTAAGTTATTTATCTATCTTATATTATAATGAATAATCACACACAAAAAAATATTAAAATTCTTTAATATAATTAAATTAAAAATAGAAACGGGAATGGGTACGGGTACAGGTACGGAACGGGTAAGTACATATCCGTACCCATACCCATACCTAATTTAAAATATTGGGTTTTACCCGTACCCGCACTCGTATCCGATCAAACCGAGTATTTCTTGTCAAAATCGGAACATGTTCGAATATTACCTGCAGGTACGGATATATTTACCATCCCTAGTGGTTCTCCAATATAAAACACCCACTTTCTTGACAATTCTGCCACAATGTTAAACAAAAAGTGTGAAGAAATCAAAATCAAAAAAAGTTGTTTGGATTGTTACAATACTTCTGCGATTACAGCACAGCGCTACTATTACAAGTGGAAAACAAGAGCAGGAAAAGCTCGCTTTCGATTACATGATTACATATGCAATGACGGATGAGTGGGGCAGTTGCCCCACTAAAATTTTGTTTATCTTCTTTTTTATATTAAATATTAATTATTTTATAAAATATATATTATTAATTATATTTTAATTACCTTATTATATCTAATATAATAAAATATATTGATATCTTATTTCATTATTTAATTACTTTTACTCTATGATAAAATTATCTTAATTTTTTATAAGAAAAAAATTTACTTACTCTAAAAGTAAGTTTTAATAGATTTACTCTTTTCAATAATTAATATTTTATATTAAATTTTAAAAAATTTAAATATTAAATTAAAGGCTTTTAATAGTTTATAATTTTTTTAAAAAAAAATAAAAATCATATGATACTTCGTTAGATAGATTCAAAATAACATATAAAAATATTTTTCTTAATCATTATTCATCAATTTAAATTAATGAAACAAAGTATCAAATAATTTTTAATTTTTTTTAAAATTTTATAAATTCAATATATACATTAAAGACTTTTAATTGAACAGTTGAATACTTGATGTAAAACACGAATTATTGAGTGAAGTAAGTCTATCCAAATTTACTCTTGAAATAAGTAAATTTCTTCTTATTTATTACTATTATTATAATATACTATATTTTTTTTATACTAAAAGAGTTATTACATCTTTACTCATTAAATGTGTCATAATTTAGTTTACTAATGTAGGTTATTTTTCAATTTTATTTTATTTTTTAACCATTTGATCATATATATGCATATTGTACGTTGGTAGGAGACAATCCATGTTAAAAGAAATGAGAGTAATTGTCACACAATTTTTTTTTAACTTAAACATATTTAAATAAAGACATTTATTCTTATAAAAAAAATAGATATTGCACTCATAAAATATTTTTGTTTTAAATGAGTGTAAAAATTTAGAAAACAAAAAAAAAACAAATTAATAATTTTATTATTTTTATCCTATTAATTTTTATCATTTTATTCCTCTAATATTAAATAAGTCACAAAATATTATAGAATGATATTTAAATATAATATCAAACAAAAAGAGAAAAAGAAAAAATTATCACTATTTATAAGATAATTTTAATTTATTAAAATAAGGTATTTTAAATTTTTATCATATATATTTTTTAAAAAAATTATTAATTTTTTTTTAGTAAAGAGGATATAAAATATTTTATTAACCCCACTTAACAAATTTTCTGGATCTGTCACTGTACATATGTATGTCTAATTTTCTCAAATTTTTGTGCTTGGGAAATGCTGCAAAAACGACATTGCATAAAATATCAATCCTTAAAATATTTTCACATGGTAAATATTCACTTGAAACATCTTGAGCGTATTGGAACCTTATTTAAGACATGATACTCATATGTCTCTTCCTTTTCCCCTTCCTTACACATTCAATGCCATCCTCACTTCATATTAAATAAACATCTCCATTTCACTTCTATATAAGTATAATAACACACTCGTTGCCACCAAAATCATGGTCCAAGAGAAGAAGCTCGTGGAAGAAGTGTCCGGTTGGTTGAGACTCTACGATGATGGTTCAGTGGACCGGACATGGACCGGTCCATCAGAAGTCAAATTCATGGTTGAATCAGTTCCTCCCCATGAAGAATTTATCAATGGAGTTGTCACTCGTGATGTAATCATGAGTGACAAGCTCCGTGTCCGGCTTTACCTACCAGAAATAATCTCCAATGAGGAGAAACTCCCTATTTTCCTACACTTTCACGGTGGTGGGTTTTGCATAAGTGAACCGGATTGGTTTATGTATTACCAATTTTACACCCGGTTGGCTCAATTGGCTCGAGTCATTGTTGTCTCCCCCTTCCTTCGTCGTGCCCCCGAAAATCGTCTCCCAGCTGCCATTGATGATGGCTTCTCTGCACTCATCTGGCTACAATCTGTAGTTAAAAGAAATGCAGAGGAGCCATGGCTTGAAAAGTACGGTGATTTTAACCGTGTTTTTCTAATTGGAGATAGCTCTGGTGCAAATATTGTGCATGAGGTGGCTACTCGAGCTGGAAGGACTCGGTTAGACCCGCTTCGTCTCATCGGAGGAATCCCAATTCATCCGGGATTCTCTCGGCCAAAACGGAGCAGGTCAGAGCTAGAGAAGCCAGAATCTCCATTTTTGACTTTGGACATGGTGGACAAGTTCATGAACTTGGCATTGCCATTGGGTTCTAACAAAGACCACCCAATTTCATGCCCCATGGGCGACAGTGCTCCGCCACTTAGTGGGCTGAAACTACCGCCATTTCTACTGTGTTTGGCGGAGATGGACTTGATCTTTGACACAGAGATGGAGTACTATGAAGCGATGCGGAAGGCCAACAAGGAAGTGGAGTTGTTTGTTAGCAAAGGAGTGACTCATAGCTTTTATCTCAACAAAATTGCCGTGGATATGGACCCAAACACTGGTGCTCAAAGGGATGCTCTTATTGCCAGGATCAAAGAGTTCATTGAGCAGCACTAAATTAATCATTATGTGTTCATTTTCTCTTTTCTTTTTGGAAAAGAAGAAGAAAACATGGAGTGTACGTGCAAAGGACAATTTGTGCTCTTAGCGAGTTAGTTGATGAATGAAATAATTAATAATTAATATGTTGTTTGTGTGAACACTTTGGCGAAAATATAATGTACTTTATAATTTCAGTTAGCTAGGCTCTGCGTGCGATGTTCAATGTGCTGTTGCATGGAAATAGCCATTTATTTTATAAACTTTTAGTTCTTCACGTAACTTTGTTTGTGCCATTAAGATATTTTCCTTGCAAGAAACGCATTTTGCGTGTTTGATTCCTCATGATATTATTGTTAAAACAACTGTTTAGTTGAATTTCCTCCCTATGATAATATATTGATATTAACAAGTTCAAATTAGTGCTGAATTGATCCACACGAGTTTTCTTATTCTTTATCGGACAAAAGATATTGAACCAATCGATCGCCCTCCTTTTTATTGGTTTTACTATAGTCTGACTCGTTGATTGTGAGATTGAGATCCTATATGGAATTAATGAAGTCACATATGGTTGGCTTGGTCTTGTTCACAAGCGGCGTCTTTTCAGATCGGGAAGCTTTTGAATAAATATACGAGGATTCCACAGACTTACACGTGTTTTAAATTCATATTAAATAGATATCTTTCGATTTTGTTGTTTTTATAGAAAAAATTAAATTCCTAAAAAAGTTATTGGTTTCGGTTCCTAAACTTTAATTCCTTCGGTTAACAATTTTTTGTTTTCATTGTCAAGAACTATACCGTTAAATGATGGTGTGGCAACCATGTCAGTTTTAAGCCAGATAAAAAAATTTCTAACAAGATTTTGAGTGAGACAAATATAATACATGTTGTTATCTCTAACAAGTGTGTTTGTGTTCCTGAAAAACATATAGGTAAAATAAAGAACAAGACGATAATACATCAAGCACAATCTAAGGCAAAACATAAAGATTCAGCCACAAGATGGTCAACGACCAAAAAGAAATTCCAGAAGAAATGGAAAGTCTGACCATATATAAGGTTGACCAAGACAAAAGGAAAAGTCAATACGTTAATGATAAATGCTTAGACAAAGGTTGAAGTTTGAGTTACATATAGACTATCAGATGTAGACGAAAATTTGTGATGCAATCACCTGAGGAATCAAGCCAAAAAGGACAATTTGAATATAGTCCACACTCACAGAAGAACACACGAAGTCATCTGAATTGTAAGAATAAAAGAGGAAAGGAGAAAATCAAGCGCAGAACTAGAAGCGTGCATGTGTCAAAAAAAGTGCATTACTTTTTCAGACAAGGACAAAACTTCACAGCTGTGAGACTAGAAAAGGACAAAAAGATTTCTAGGTCTCTGCTAAACTTAGACACTGCTGCTACCAAGACAGAAAACACTTCACACAAGTTCTATCACAAGAAGCAACATTTAATGCAAGAATCTGAGCATTAAATGACAAGAACAAACGGGTCGTGAACGACTATGTCTGCTTCAACGGACACTTGTAACGGGCAGATTTCACAAGACTATATATAGGTCTCAACATAAAACCTTAAAAGGTTGGCTGTGTGACCCAAATGGTGCAAGCATGAAGAAGAATTATATTCAGCCCATGAAGTAACAAAAGCAGAGAAAGAGCAAGTAGAATCAAATGTACCTTAGTGTAATCCTCTCTGTAAACTAAGGAATCCTAAATGTGTACATCTTAGAAGCAAAACCTTAGTGAGTGTAAATCATATATGTATATCCTCTCTGTAAGAGTAACCCAAACACTCAAACCTGATTATACATCTAGCCAATACTTTAAAGCTTGAAGAGGCTAGGAAAAGAATACTTATAAAGCCTGGAGAGGCTTGTCAAAGAATACTCACTGCTAGCCAGAAGTGGCCGATAAGAGAATACTAGCGTTGGTGAGTGAAGCCGACGGGCCAGGAGTGATCGAGAATACTTGTGAAACCAGAAGTGGTTTAAGAATACTAGCGTTGGTGAGTGAAGTCGACGGGCCAAGAGTGGTCGAGAATACTTAGGGAATCATAAGTGGTTTAAGAATACTAGCGTTGGTGAGTGAAGCCGACGGGCTAGAAGTGATCGAGAATACTTGGAGAACCATAAGCAAGAGGCTAGGAAAAGAATACTTGTAAAGCCCGGAGGGGCTTGTCAAAGAATACTCACTACTAGCCAAATGTGACTGATAAGAAAATACTAGCGTTGGTGAATGAAGCCAACGGGCCAGGAGTGGTCGAGAATACTTGGAGAACCAGAAATGGTTTAAGAATACTAGCGCTGGTGAGTGAAGATGGCAGGCTAGGAGTCGTCGAGAATACTCAAGGCCAGGAGTGGTCGAGAATACTCAGGTCCAAGAGTGGACGATAATACTCAATGTTCTTCAATTTGATATCTAGTGGAACCCTTCAACTGAAGGAGACTGGACGTAGCTCAGTTGAGCGAACCAGTATAAAATGATTGCATTTGCTTTTCTTGTCTAACTAGGAATAAATCTTCTTTACTAAGTAAATCTTTGTGAAAGACTTTGTCCAATATTTAGATATCGTTAAAACCATTTTCAGACGAAGACGCAATTTTCTTTAATAAGTATATTACAATGAAAAGCTTTATCTACTGCTTGACTTTAGACGAAACTATCTTGAAAAGGAAAGTGTGACAACTTCAAATACTTATTATTAGAAACCATTTTCCTTAGCAGTCGATAAACCTGTCAGACGCAATGATCTTACGTTAATCAAATTTTGGCTAACCGTTTGATATTCGAAAGTGCATTGGATGAAGTATATTACTCTTGCGAAAATGATTTTAAAATTCCTTCCTACAGACACACACACATATTCAACCCCCCCTTCTATGTGTTTTTCTGCTAACTTTAGTTAGTTATCATGTTTTCAACTAGTCTAACGTGGTAGTTATATATGGAGTAAAATAGACATAATAAAGGGTATTTAATTTTCTTTATAAAAAACTTACAACATTTTTTTTTGAAAGTGTTCTTACCGGAGATCTGCCGTAGAGGTGATCCGCCGAGTAAGATTGGTGAGCCTCCTTCGCTGGTACGCTTGATGTTCCAAGATGGGGGTGGTACCTACAAAAGAGACCCTGATGCTAAAGTTAGGGTTTGTATGAGTGTATGTCTCATATAAGTAATGCACGTACCTTAGTATGGATTAGGGTTGCGTTGGGCCTTGGGCCTGAGATCAGTTGTGATCTAATTGGATAGCGGATCTCGTCTGGACCGAGATCTCCTCAGATCAGTTATGATCTGGTTAAGTGACGAGCTGACGTCACGTAGCGCGTATCCGAGGTCGTCATGCGCTGCGATGCCGAGCTGGGAGCTTGGCCTTGCAGTACGGATAGTACACTAGCCCCCCGAGCTCCAAAGACCGTGGGTCGAGGAGTTAAAACCGAGCTCGTCAAGTGGCTGTGACCCCTCGCGTACGCGTGCTTGTTGAGATGCCATGTGTCATAACTGGTCATCTCCCGAGAACGTGCAAGTGGCGCGTTAATGGGAGTGACGGTTATGTAATGATGGTTTGCCTTTGTCATAATTTTTCTCAATTAATGTGTCATCAGACGCGTCCCTTGGCTGACACGTGGCGTGACCGTTTTGATTTTGGGAGAAACCCTTTTCTCTCCCTCGCGCCTCTTCTCCTTTCACTTTACTCTTTTTTTTCGCTCTCTCAGCTTCTTGTGCACGCTGTTTATCTCGCTTCCGTTTATCCTCCGTCTCCATTTTCTCCGTTTCTGCCGTCGTTTCCGGTAACCCCGTCATTGTTAGGGTTGTTTTCTGAGGAAGAGTACCAGGTATTTCCTTTCTACAGTTTTCTTTTTCCTTCTTTCCCAACCTTCTTCGAGTCTTTCTGTTTCTTTAATGGCTGGTGGAAGTGGTGTTGGTTCTTCTGTGCCTGCCAGGGGCAAGACGCGCGGCAAGGCGGTGGCTGCCGGGAAAGCCACTGCCGAGAAGAGGGACCTGCCTCTACCCAAGGACCTGGAGCCAGGCATCCCTGGTTACGACTGGGTCAAGCGCGATATGGGGGGGTCCAAAGTGTGTTCAGATCGTTTCTGGAGGTCAGCGCGGTTTGGAGAACGCACCGAATTTGTGACCCTTCCATTTCCCGGATGATCCGGCTCTAACCCTGTCTAGCCGGTGAGGGTGTGTACATGGGGAGGTCTACTGACCCTCCCCATTTCTATGTCTACCAGTGTCTCTTCAGGGACCTGGGCGTCTGTCTTCCTTTTACTCAGTTTGAGTGTGATTTTTTGAATTACATCAACGCGGATCCTTACCAGCTACACCCCAATAGCTGGGGTTTTTTGAGGGCGTTTCAAGTTCTGTGTACAGTCCTAGGGATAGAGGTGTCCCTTTGCATTTTTCTTCATTTCTACCAGTTGAAAATAGGTGTTCCGCCTTACGGCTTGCTGTCGCTGAGTGGGAGTAGAGATGGGGGGTTGTTTACCCTTTACGCCCAATCATATAAAAATTTTAAGCAAGAGTTTTTTCGGGTTGCCCTTGTGGATGTCGACCCTTTAGAAGATGGGGGTTTCTACTTCGGTGGGTTGCCGAAGTTCCCTTTCTATTGGTGCCCCAAACCGTCTAGGTTTCACGGGGTGGACCACTTGCACTTGATGGCTTCGGAGGCGGCCGCCATTGAGAATCTTTATGCGCTTCCTCGTCCGCTGGATTGCAAGCTCGTCCTGTCGCTTGCGAACTCGACGCACAAGGAGAGGGGCTTGTAGAGTGAGTATTTTGTCTTTCGATAGCTTGTTGGAGTTTGTGTAATTTTTCTTTGCTGATGTGTTTTATTTCCTGTCTTTAGGCATCATGGGGAAGAACTTGTGGCGTGAGCTGAAGCATCGCTACAACGTTACCGAGCTCGAGGTCCCCGAACCTCAAGAGGAGAGTGTTTCCCCCCTGAAGGTCAACCGAAAAAGAAAGAGGGGTGGGAAAGAGGTCAGGGGGACCTCTGCTTCTCGCGAAACAGAGGAGGTTACTTCCAAGGCCACTGATGCTGACGTGGTGGATCTAATTGGGAGTCTGCCGCCCGACGAGGCTGTTCGGGTGGCTACCGAGGAGGTGGCGGCGGCTGCCGAGCCTACTGCTCAATCTGTCGGGGTGTCCACCCGAGCTGCTGAGCGAGTCGTCGAGACTGTTGTGGTAAGTATCTTGCTTATTTGATTTTTCTTCTATCTTTGATGTTACTTTTCCGCCCTTGAAGGAATTTTTGGTTTCTTGTAGGAGGGGAGTGCCGCCGAGGTGGCGGCTCAGGTTGCTGAGCAAGTCGCCCCCGTTGAGGGGGTGAGTAGTGTATCTTCCCCCTATGTCTTGTTTC